ACCGTCTAGTTTACCAAGCATAACCACCTTTTCCGGGGACTGGTGTCTCCTGATCCGTGTCCAAAGTATACGAGATGAAGGCTTGCCCTGGGCACTTCTAAGGAGCATTCTGGCTATACTCCAGGTAGGTGCTTAAATTAGAAGTTCAACTGCATTGTTACCATAATGACAACGGCTTATCGGTGTGTGCGCAGTGTTCTGACTCCCCCCTCCTGCCTCCTAGTACTTCTAAAGTATTTCCATGAGCTTGAATCCCCACAGAGCAGACCTTGTAATAGTAACAGTCATCTTATAAACACACAGAAACAAAACCGAGGAAGGAAATAGACACAGGAAAGCCCGAGTGACTGGTCTCAAGGGATCTGCTGAGGTGATGCTGGACCCCACTCTTACCTTGACAATATAGCGCACGTATTGTGGCCGCTTGGCATTGATGAAGATTCCTATGCTGCAAGGGATGAGGACCAGGACCAGGGAGATCACAATGCCTCCATAGGGCACCTTGTCCTTTAGGTCCCCGTCATAGATCCCCATGGAGTAGATGTACAGGAGGAGGGGCATCATGCCCAGGGCAAAGAAGGTGGAGCAGGTGGTCATCACAATGCTAGGTGGGAGACGGAGGGAAAACAAAGAGAGAGCTCATGAATACGGGCTAGTCTGTCAAGGGCCTGCTCTGTGCCAGGCATTGTGCTCGGTGCTTTACCTGCTCCAGGTTTCTAAGTGACAGACTTCATGTCGGGTTCACAATCGCCTAAAGAGGGGGCCTTACTTTCTCCTTTCTGATGATGAGTTAGCTGGGCGCTCCGAAAACTGTGACTTGCTCAAGATCACACAGACAAAGTCGGGATTTGAAACCAGCTCTTTCTGACTACTCCAATCCCGCATGCTTCATTGTTGATGGAGCCCTTCTGATTGCCTCTGGAGGGAACCTATTTCTGCTCTGAGCCCCTCACCAATGCACAGTTCATTCCGAAGAAGGCTGATTGTGTGATCCCACCCCCAAAGGGACTAGAGCCCGTTGGATCATGGCATTGCATTTGATTCTTGGTTGCCAGACACCTGGCTCAGAGTCTGGGCCATGACTGGGTGTGAGGCGTGGCACGTGTCCGATGGAGATAATCAAGATGAACTCTATCAAGCGCACCTTCTCTCTTGGTGAGTTTGACTGTGAGACATACTGAGGGACTACTTGGTCTTCAAGAGTGGGTGGTATGGGAGTGATGGTGAGGCAGAAGGCAAAAAACTCCATATAACAAGTAAGCAATACTTGGAGGCCATGCTTAAAAGGACTTAAAAAAAAAAGCAGCAAATCAATGGAAGCAGGTAGTAGTTGAACGACCTACTGGTGGAGCAGTAGAGGAGGCAGCAATAGTTGCCTACGTGATGTGACAATTTGGTCACCAGACCTGCATTGTTCATGTTTTTTCCCTCCGAAAAGTGTAATTGGCATATGTGGTAGTTACACAATTTCATGGAAACTTGATAAAAGAATGAAGGGGTGGAGTCTGGTCTGTCAATCAGGTCACAGCCTGATGCTCCCCCCTTGTGGGCATGGCTGTCTCTTGAGGATGCTTGGAACTTCCCCTCTCTTGATTCTGTCAACAGAAGAGGCGGGCCTCTCTCTCTCTCTGCTTCACCTTCCTGCTGACAAGCCACACGGAGCTGTGATCTTCCACATTCGGCATCATTGCATATACTGCGTGAGTCTGAAGAGGAATTCCTGGGCTAACATTGGACTTATAGGCTAATATTGAACTTATGAACTTGATCTAGACAGGGCTGGGATGTTTTATTGGTGCATAATTACTTCTTGATATAAAGCTTTCTCTTACACATATGTGAGTGCCAATGAATTTATTTCTCTACTCAACCCAGCTGAACACAGCATAGAGTTCACGTATCATGCGATTCAATAGGTCAGTCACATCGCGAGAAGAGTTATGTAATCATCACCCCAGTCAGTTGTAGAACACTTTCTTCATTCGGGTACTCATCATTATTAGCTCCCCATTTCCCCCCAACATTCCCTACCATACCCCCAAGAACCATTAATCCAGTTACTGTCTGTAGATTTACCTATCCTGGAATTCATATACAGGAAAACAATAAAACAAA